TGTATTTTAATAAGACGGATATTTTGTTTGAGGGTCTTCGTTCATGGCAACCAAGAAAATGGGGATTTTGTGAGGCTGTATTAATTAAGAATGAACATATATTAATTATAATTATTACAATTAATACTTTGTTTATATATTTTTTTTTATTGAAATTTTTTATAGTACAATACAAACAAATGTTGAACACCCTCACATTCACACATCCATCCATACATCAAACCTGCCTACATCACATTCAAATGTAGAAATGAGCATAGTTCTCACAGTAATACAAAAATATAAGGGGTTAGGATAGACAAGATTCTCCCCTCCTTTCCTTCTTCTTTTCCTTTTTTTTCATAAATGTCCTTCACCTCCACTCCCTAAAATAGTCATATATGGCTTCCACATATTCACAAAGTCCCATTGTTTGCCCTTGGCAATATATGTCAGTCTTTCCAGGCCTAGAGAGATTGCAATTTCCTTCTTCCAGAGTCCCATGGAGGGAGCATCCATACTCTTCCAACATAGCGCAATGGCTCTTCTGGCTTGAAGTAGTCCATAGTCCAGTAATTTAGTTTTTCCCCCCGATTGCTTAAATTCCCTTGGATATATTCCAAGTACACAGAGTTTTCCTATTAAAGGGATTTTTACCTTAACAATTAATACTTTTAAAAGCAAAACTTAAGGTAGTTGAGAAATGTTCACAGGTGAATATTAATCCGAGAGGTAGATTTTTCAAATCTCAACGCTTCCCGGTGACACCGAGTCCAGTCTGGGACTTTTAGACTGAAAGCTGCATTTTTGTCCTGCTTATTGGAATAAGTATCAGATTGGTGCCGAGGACGTGAGAGGCTGTACTGGTTCATATGTAAGCTGCCATCCACACAATGAGCCTCATTTACTAACTTACAGATTTAGAGGAACAAATGAAGACCTGGCTGTTTTAGTGAATTTAAACAAGTCTTTAAAATGAATACTACTATTTATTATTAGAATTATGTGAGACTCATGTAATGGGTGGACAAGATGAAAGTATTGTAATAGATATTGCCTCCCTCCTTCCATAATTTCATGTGTTTGGCCTTCTTATCATTGTTACGTTATGCATTCAGTTCTTTATTACTATTTTTGACACATACTGTGCTCACTGGCAATCCAGCTAGAATATTCTGGTCAATGATGATTCCCACTGGTGGCGCTCACTCAGGCACTGAATCGGGCGGCTTTGGGGTCCTGTGTGTTTTACTGCACAGATAGCCTGCAGAGTGCAGCTACACTAAACTGAAGTGCTTGTGTTTTGTATTTGCAGTTGCAAATGAGCAAGTAAAGAGAACGATTCTGAACTCATGCACGCCTGGAAGTGTGCAACAATTATTATTGTCTTTTGGTCATTAATTTGGTTTTCTCGGATACTTTAATTCCCAAAATGGAAAGGTGTTGGCTTTAACCTTTCCATTTAAAGAATATTTATCTGACCTTCTCTTAAATGTTTTAACGTCTTAAAAAACAGTTCAACTTTCTCTGATTTCCTCTTTGGACACAATCATTTCAGTTTCTTCAGTTGGACTTTCGTGCTTTAGAGGTGCAGGCTTCTCTCTCGCAACATCCTCACATTTTTCTCTACGTCACCTGGGCTTCAACTATTTCCTTATATACAGAAGTAGGGATGTTATGCAGATTGCACAAGCTTATGCATGGCGGTTAGAACAAAATGTTTTATAAATCCAATGGTAATATTGCTGATGTTTCTTTTCCAGGCATGGTCTTACTTATTTACTAAATCACATTCTGCACATATTCCAAAAATAAGACAGAGCCTATGTCAGTCACAACAGCTTAAGATTCACTCTGCAAACGTTTCCAAATGCTAAAACGGGTGCATTAAAATAAGAGGTGATGCAGCGGCAAAGTAAGCGTGTCTCTGTTTCATGTGGCGCTGACAACCTGCAGAGAGTGGGGTAATATTTTAAATTTCAACAAACTAAAACTGTTTCGTTTTCATTTGAATCGTTCACACACATCGTGTCCGGCAAACAGCTCTGCTCTCGGCATTGACTTGAGGTCGGAAAGGTTGCCTCGGGGTCAAAGCAGGCACAACTTTGATGTTGAGAAAGCGCCTTTCAATCAACACTGAATCAATATTTCCAATTATTGTACCTGCTGCTAATTTTCCCAGCTGAATATTTCAGTACAGACTTTTTCACTCCCCTGAACTGTCCGACGTCTTTGATTCTTTCAGTGATGATAATCTTATGGCGCTCTGCTCATTAAAAGTCATTTCCCTGGATAGAAAAACAGGCGGGTGTATTTAAGAGGAAGAATGAAGACGGCACTATTTGCTGCTCCCTTATTTCCCGAGTGGTCACCACAGCAGATGGATCCACATGCTGACTTAGCACAGGTTTGACACCAAACGCCCTTCCTGATGCAAACCTCCCAATTAGCTGAGCTTGTGATGCACTGAAGCTGGGTTTGTGTCTGCTCCCAGTTTCAAACTGGGGATCTTTCACGTGTAAGGCGAATGTGTTAATGGAGCCCCTATTTCAGAGTAAGAATGGCATTATAGAAATCCCTCCAAGGCTAAACAAGTCCGTCTAGACGCCCTCCTCCTTGGCAACACTTCCCAGCTCCTCCTGGGTGATCCTGAGGCATTTACAGGGCCGATTGCATATATAATCTCAGTGAGATGTTCAGGGTCCACCTCTGGGTCTTCTATGAGCTAGACAAGCCTGTAAACCTCCAACTGAAGGCAGCCGGGTGGATCGTGATTAGAAGTCTGAATTACCTCGCTTTTTTAAATGCAAAGGAGCAGCGGTTCTACTATCAGCCCCTCCAGATGTCTGAGGAAAGCAAAGCCAGAAATACCTCAGAAATTAGTTCTCTACTACATCATCAAAAAACATGCAAGATTAATGCTTCAAATCTGGGCTCACTCTCACAAAACAGATCTTACTCACTCTGGGGAGTTTCACTTCTCGGTTAAATAAAGGTTAATAAATAAATAACTGCAAATTCAGAGATATTCCAAAGATATTTTGGTTTAACTTTTGTACACCGGGAGGAAAAAGTGACTTGTCGCCTGTTTCTAAATTCATTCTATTCTCCTCACCCGTTCTGTTAGGGTGAGATTGAGCAAAATAAACAATCAAATAACCACCGAATCAAGCCGACTAAATTAGGCGGGCACCTCCTGGCTGCTCTGAGCGCTCACTAGAGCAGCAGATGTATATTAATCCACAGCTGACACTATTCCCTAACATTTCATTGTGATGGAGTTATGATTTCTAAGCACTACAGCACTGATAAAAAAAAAGAAGAATCATAGATTTTAAGCCAATTTAAGGTTTAAAATCTTCTGTAGTAGCAGTGGGATTGGGATTGAAAGAGTGAGATGACAGCACTGAGAGCAGAGCCGGCATTGTTTTGGTGTTTTAAAAGAGCATCGGTCTTATCCCATAATGCAGGATTAGGATTTAGACTCCAACTTTTTGTCAGTTATCAGGTTGACTGCTCTCAGCCAGACTAGCTTCTGGTTAGTTAGGACTATCAGTGCTTTTCTCTCCTGCTGCTCCGCCTGTCCTCTCTCAGAAAGATGTGATAATGGCAGAGAAGACAGAGGAGCACGCGCATAAATGCAGTAGCCACTTTCATGGTGCACTGAAACAGAAGAGGACTCACGCAATTATGCAAATAGAGTCAATAAGACATTATAAATGCTTGTTTGCGATCCCCTCCATCACATTTAAACGGACTGGGTGTTAGATTTTCACATGGAAAGCAGATGTGTCTTTCAGGTCTGAAAAGTGAAGCTAATGAATAAGTGCCTTCTTTTTAATGGCCACCAGGGGAACATTGGTGTGGCTGCAGAATGATTTCTGTGGGAAAACGATCCTCTGCTCCCTCTCTATATGACGTCAGTAATGCTTTCCTGATTTACTTCATGGACTTGATCGCTTAATAGGACAAAGGCTTATAAATCAAGTTAACGTGACAGTGGATACATCCATATTTTGCGCTCTGTATCGTGGAAATAAAGTGAAGGCACAAAAAATAAGTATGTGAAGTAAATAAAAGCACGTGAAGCCAAACAGCAGCGAAACCCACAAACGAACAAACACAACCTTCTGTCGACTTTGGAACTAAAAGCTGAATCTTACCATCTACCTTTGCTCCAGGTGGTGTTTTAAAGCAACAATGACAATGGTCACCTAGTGTGCATTTGTCTGCCTCGCGTGTATCTGTAATTTCAGGGGGTCTAGTGCAGTACTTGACCCCCTGAAATGATACTTGAAATGTGTATTTGTTCCTGCTCGATTTGGTTCAGCATGTTCTGCATTTTTATCAGGACCATTCAGTCCTTAGGGGGGAAAAAGAGCACTTACAACACTCGAAACACTGCACGAGGACGCATCGAATACGAACAAAAAAAAAAAATGAGTAGAAAAAGTGGAAGAAAAAAAGGTGAATGATTAAAATGTAGAGCACAGCAGGACCATAACAGCAGCGTGCTGACTGGCTGTTTTCTTCTCGGCTTTCACGAGTCGCTCACATCACCGGAGGACAATGCTGTTTAGAAAAATCACTGTTGTTTCTTTTGAGGAAGTTTTCTTTTCTTTTAAATGAAACCCGTGTTTCAGAAGAGAAAAAGCTGCAGGTCGATAAGCTGATTTAAAGCTTCCACCTACATTTGAAACCAGCGACGCCTCAATAACTTGGGGCAAGGTGACATTAAAAGCACGCTGCAGTGCAAAAATCAAAACAAGTAGATTCCTTAAAGAGATGCTCTGGGGCAATCTGCCGTATTTTCAGTGATGTTTCGCTCTTTTGTCTGCAGGCAAACAAACCCCGAAGTCATATTTACTATAAATATTCCAGTAAGCCTCGAGCAAAGCGGTGTCTTCCACCACTAACCTTGCCTTTGTCTGTTTCTGATTACCATGCAGTAGGCTCCACACTTTTAGGATCCTCCCTAAAGGCCACATTAATCAAGACACATGCAGACAGCTGACTCTTACCTCCTCGTGAAGGATGGCCTTACACATGGAGTAGTTCCCCTTCAACGCCCACGTCCCATTTGCAAGACATCGCCTATAAACATTATCTGTAAAGAGAGCAAGAGAAGAAGAAAGACCAGATGAGGAGACTGTTTGATTTATCACATTTTTTTTGCCTTTTCCTTTTTGGCCTCGTGTCCCTAGATGGGAATTTGTGCTCGATTCGTAGTGGCACTGTGACCTTTTTCTGCTTTGAGACTAATAGGGAGAGATATCATTAGAGAAAGTCTCACAAGCTGTGATTTTTCACATGTTTGCTGTTGGAACAGTCTACCACCCTTCTGCCTAAGCACTGTTATTATTCTTTAAATTGAGACCCACGATTTAGCCGCAAATGACGTACGCTTCACGTCCATCCTGTTGTTTCAGACGCTGGAGCTGAGGACAGAACTGTACTCCTGAATTACAGTTTTATTACTATTTAAAACTTTAAAATTGGTAAAAACGGAGATGCAGCTTCTGGAAAATCACTTATTGAAATACGGATTCATGCAGAAAAAATAGACACAAACCACTCCCCGGGGGGTAAGTTGTAACGAGCAGATTCAAACTCGGTGGAAGACGGGCCAGCAGCAGCAGCAGCAGCAGCTGGGCTCTAGGGAGCTTCTCAGTTTATTGAGAAGGGTCTACCACGGTTAGCCAATCATCGAATTCCACAGCCTGTTCTACTCTGGCAGATATTCAGAAAATAAAGTACTTTCCAGTTCCTTCCCTGTTTCCTGTCTCCTATGTGGATCCGTCTTTGATATGTGTCCTGCAGAGCCCTGCGGACTTGTGTATCCCAAGCCAATTAGCCCATCCTACAGTCACGAGAAAGGCACTGAAGGGTGCAGGTGCTCGCCGTCTCCCACTGCTCTCAGAGTCAAACGAGCTGCATGTGGAGAACTCCTGATGCAATGTCAGCACAGACATGTCAACAGTCTATGTGTTATGGTATAAAATATACGACGCATCCATGTGGCCTAAAATAAAGTGACTATTAATAATATACAAAATAAAATTTCCTTTGGTCTAATGTTTGCAAAATTGAGGATTATGGAGTAAATAATAATGATACTATTCACACATATGTAAAATTAAATGGGTCAGAGATAACAAATTAAAAAAAAAATACATAATGAGGATCATACTTTTCACTCAAAACGATTTCAGATTAAAATAGGTCAAAGGTCAAAGTGGATATAGTCATAAATACTCAAGAATTGCACACACACACACACACACACACACGGAGGTCGAGGATATTTAAGTGGTTGTTTTTTCTTTGCGGTGGGAATAAAATAATATGACAAGCTCAGTAAATAATAATTTAGACAATTATCTCTGAAGCGATGCGTAAGAAAAACTGAAGAATTTAATGAGCGACCCATCTGCTCCCCAAGGTGTTCAGGCCAAAGGAGTGCGAAGGTGCAGGTGACAGCAGTCTGAGATCATTAAATATAGTGAATAAAGTTTGATCTGTTTAAGTTTACAGGTTTAGCTGAAAGCACAAACTGTGCAGTCCTACGTGCCACTTCAGAAATGTTCGGTTTGTTTTATCGTGTTGCTGAATCATCTCTGCCTCCTGCTTAAATCCAGCTGCTCCTGGACACGAACAATTACACATCCACAACGAGATGTTTGGATTTAGAAACAGAAGAGAGCCGCTGATTATGGACTAAGATGGTTGAGTCAACAGCAGCCAGACTTCTGTTTGTCATGGTCCTGCACTGGTCATCTGTTGTGCTTTAACATCTCTCTAAATCTCTCGAGCTGGATTCATCTGAGCTCCATCTGCAGGTGGAGTCCCGGTCTCTCACATTTGGCTCACTCTCCCCAAATAAACATCCTGACCAAGTCTCACTATCACCTCCTGAAACATTTCATGAACAGCTCAGCGTCCGATTCTGTCAGGACTGACTCTCCTTCCTTCTCTCTCAGAGTTATCCTCCCATGTTGATGGCTCTGTTCCCTGCACCCTCCCTGTTAATCATTTACTCTGTTTTTGCTCAGTCTGTACAATAAAGCCATTTGAAAGGAAATCACTCTCTTTTGGGTCTCACTTCAGGATCCGCTCACTGGTAACACCTTCAAAGGCCTTGAAACTTTTAGGTTCTTGAACATGTTTCACTTTTTATTCAGAAGTTCTTCAGCTCAGGCCAATAAAGGCGGATTGAGAAGCTGCCTTCGACTCAACCACTCCAGACTAACATGACCGGGACGACTGAGAGCCCACACAGAGAGCCCGACTGTAATGACTGTCAGAGGTTCGGCTCGTCTACATTTCGATGTTGAACTGACACGAGCACACTGCACAGCTGAGTCTCATAGAAGAAAATGTGAGACAGTTATGAAAAAATGTTTGTTTGTGTTCAAGGACACCAGCTGTCACGTTTTTTTTGCAAAAGCACGACTCTGAAAGTAAAGTAGTTAAACAAGAAGCATGTTTTGTGTCTGCAGCAGATATATGGTGTCCAAACTCATCAGCCAGGACAAGATGGCATATGAACACATGAAAGCTGGTTTTAATGACAATTATTAATCCATCCGTCCAATTTCTTAAGTGCTGCGGGGCTGAAGACTGCCCCAGCTGTCGTAGGGCAAAAGGTGGGGTCCACCCTGGACAGGACACCAACCAATTGCAGGGCTAACACTTTAGAAGCAGTTTCAGTTCAGTTTTATTTGTCATATGCAAGTTAGCACAGCGTCAACATTGCAATGAAATGTATTTGACGAGCAGAAGACAGTCACTCAGCAGTATAGTACAGTAAAAATAGTAAAAAACCACAATATTTATAAAACACAGCAAAAAATATAGTAAAAAATGTTAACAGACTAAGTATAAATACATGTGCACACTTGTATAAACAGAAAAAGAAATCTTAAATGAGATAAAGTGTCAGGAGTGAGCAGCAGTACAAACTGAACAGCACAAAGTTTGAGTGTCAGTTAGTGCAGGACTGCACGGAGTAAGGGTTTTTATTTCTATTTAAATACTAATAAAAATGACGTGACCAGTGCAGAGCGTAGTATGTATCTGTGAAACTGTAGGACAGCGTCTGCGTGCATCCTGTGGAGCGTAGTGTGTGTGTTTAAATATTGTGGTTGAGGTGTCGTACGGCTAGGTGGTAAAAACACAGACTCCTGTAACGTCTGCCAGATGGTAACAAGGAGAACAGCTGGTGTGCTGGGTGGCTGTGGTCCTTGATGATGCTGTGTGCTTTTGGGTACCCAGAAAGAACACAAAATACACAATAACATGTTAAAAAATAATAACAATGAAGTGTAAACATGTTCGATGTGCAAGATTTGAACGCGTTTCTCTGGAGTGAGCATCAAACTGATGCCAGAATCCAAATTCAGACGTTTTCACCCCTTTAAAGGGGGAATGTGTTGATTTTGCACAGACACAAGTCAGTGTGAGATAAATAAAAGTGTTCAGGGACACAAACAAAGGGGAAATAAGGGCAGCGTGGTGGTGTAGTGGGTAGCACTGCTGCCTCACAGCATGAAAATGCTGGGTTTGAATCCCTCTTGCTCTATGACTGCTGGGGTAAAGCCCCAGACCCCCATAATCCTGAAGTGGATGTAACTGGATGGATGGAAGTAAAACAGAAACAAAATAAGTGCATCAGATTAAGTATCTGTCACAGATGAAGGAAACAATCCAGAAATGAGAAACACAAAGACTGTCACTCAGTCTTGGTCACTTGAGGGTAAAAATCAAAAGCGAGTCCCAAATAATGATTTCTCCACATTGCTGGATAATACAAAGTGAATGGTGTGTGTGTGTGGAGGGGGTGTTGATATGGAGGCACTGACAAATGATGAGTAAAATTACATTTTTCCACTCAGGCCCGCCGTGTCACAGCACAGGACACGGTAAATCTGGAACAAATTTCACATTTGTCATTTCACATTTATTATCTCTAAAGATGACGGAAATTAAATCCGTCAAGTAAGACATCGTGGAACTGAAAGACCTCAAACGAGGCCATTTCAAGTTGAAGGGAGACTCTTTTTAGAGTGGGTGTTTGACATGCGGGGCTACCTGCAGGGGAGCTGCAGGAGCTTGCTGCGAGTGTGTGAATCAAACGTTGAAATGTACGCTTGTGGTTCAGTTAATTTGATGATTATCATGGTTGAAATGAAGTTAGATATGCCGCCTGCCAACATAATCACGTTAGGACGCTGTTAGGGACCGCAGCTCAATCTTCAGGTCAGACTTTCCGTCGGGCGATAATTGGTAGTGAAGTCACGTATGCACGTGTCACTTCTCCCATTTCAAAACATTTTCCAGACTTTTATGGACAGGTCTGACCCCGATCTCGGAGCGGGTCGCTTCCAAGGGTCATTGGACACCTTTTTCAGTGACAGTGGACTTTTTGTTGTTCAGACTGAATGTCAGAAAGCTGTCAACATCCATAAACAATGGAACTTTTCTTCTTTCCTCTAAATCTTTCCACTAAAATCACACAAAAATGCTCAAAAAGGCATCGATGCCAAAAACACAGAGCAGAGATCCAGTCAGGTGATCAAAGGTGAAGGAGGACTAGTAGACACCCAAAGGCAGACATTAACGGAAATCATTAACGGCGTAAAAGATGGACGTAGCCCCCGTGGCATCATCTTTTGGTTGGTGAGCTCCCGTTACAAAGCCCAGAGGCAAACACTTTTATTGGACGCTGCATGCTCATTGGACATGGAGGTCTCCTTCGTTTCAGACTAATAATGACGATAAGTTCCCAAATGGACTTCATGACTTATTCAATATGACCTGAAACTAGTGACTGAGCCTATGAAGGCATCAATTCAGTGTTTACAGAGGTCAGGACCCCTGTAAATACACAGGCCCCTCGTAACATCTGCACACCAGGCGATTCTTGTACAACTCAGCTTTTTGTTCAGGTTTAAATTTAGCAGGGTGACCCGTCAAGCCTTCAGCTCCATTAACACCTCTGCAGATTACGGTAGTTCGAAGTGTTATGAGTGGTCACTTATGTTAGACTGGTGCAAAGCAACATGCGGCATCCATGCACACTGTTAGGTTAGTTTAAGGGGTTGAATT